TCTGAGATTCAATTACTAAAGGATTTTTTTCCTTCATAAAATCATTGATAAGAGGATTTATCTGCATAGACCATTAAATTCTGATTATGTGGAGGAACTTTTCTACACCAGTAACTTTGCCTTATGTCCCATTTCTGAGATTGTTCCCTTTTGTTTTAGTTCATAATTTATTTGGCTCTTGTACCTTGGTTTGTCAGAAGTATGCTTTAATATAATATAACAAAGAATTTAAAAACCCAGTACCACCAAAAGAAAGTAAGTATTATGTATATGTTTGTCCTGATTTTTGTAACTGAAGATAGGCACGAATAACATCAGGCTATTTAAGTATTTATCACTGAAAATAGGCATGAATAACAGCAGGCTACTTAAGTATTTATCATTAATATTTAAAAATATTTTAATCAAAGTTAAGGTTCAAATATAAAACATCTCTTAAACTAAATGTCATTGTAACAATGAAAATAACAGCTGTGTGTCACAGTCTCTGAACACTGTTTAGCTTGCCAGAATAACCACTTTCAACTATTTCTGTTTTCAATTTTCCTTATAGTTTGTCCCATACACAAACACACACACACACACACACACACACACACACACACACACTGCTCTTTCTAGAATTACTAACACAATTAGCCCTTGACTGGTCCCTTTTCTGTCTTATGACTTACTTCCACTGCATATATTGCCCCAAATTTGAGGACTCAAGTAATTCTAAGTAACTGGTATGTATCCCTTTCAGCATGTTACTTAAGTTGTGGCTTCCTCTCCTTTTGTTCTACTCTGCAAAACTTGTTGAAGCTGCTTCTACCTCTAAATGGTATAGATCTAGTGGATCTGTACCACTTTCATTTCTTCAATACCAGTGAAAGTCCTGAGAGAAGGGAGAAAATGTGTGCCCAGACTAGAGAATATCTCTGAAGACTTGACTATTGTATTGTTAATAAGTTTATCAAAGCAAGTCTGGTGCTACTTAATACTTTTGAAAATCAGTCATAATTAGTTACTATGGGATGGAATGCTAACTTATACTCATTTGGTTCAGTTTCTTGCAAAAATATCGCATTTCAGAGTACTCTATTTTTTCAGCAGTATCCTTTCTCTTTAATAACTTTCTTCAGGCTGTTGAGATATAATGAATTTTTCTCTGATGAAGATTTTATGCATAACATCTGGAAATAATCATGTTTGTATATATATATATGTGTGTGTATGTATATATGGGTGCATGTACACCCATATGTGCATTTTATATATATATATATATATACATATATATGTATATTCATGTCAGTCATCACTGGTATTGATTGAAATTTTTAGTGAGAGGCATTTGAGATAGACATAGGACAGGTTGAATAAGAAATTCTTCTCTAAAATCATTTGCAATAATCCACCCATTTATTTACATTCATTTACATTCTTAGATGTACAGCTAATATAAGTACCCTTTTAATAGAAGATAAAAATCATTCCTACTTTATAGATAAGAAAACTTAATCTTGCATAATTTAATCAATTTGTCCTGCTAGGAGTCAAAGAAATGGCTGAGCCAGAATTCAAATTCAGGTCTTACAGCATCTACCTGGAAATAATTTTCTATATTTCTATTTTTATGTTTCTGATTACAGAAGTCTTACACATGACAAACTGCTTATGGCAGCTGTTCGTGGTTGTGTCATTTTCATCTTTCAAGTTGTAGAACTATATCCCACTTGAGAAGATCTCCACCTCCCATGTTGAAAATAGGTTCCCTCTGCTTCCTCACCACTCTACTTACTTTTTCCAAAAATAAATAATAATATGTAATTATTTCATTTACCTGTTTATCCTTCCACTGTCTATTTTCCTCAGTGTGAATGCAAATGAAATTACAGTCTGTTATTGTTATCTATAGGTATGCAGTGGTGCAGTGGGACACCAGATCGTTCTCATTACAATCTGTCAATTAGTACATTGATCAACCTTCCCCAGCCGTCCACAGCCTCTGTTAACCACCATTCTACCCTCAATTTCTATGTTGTCAATGCTTTTATATCTCACACATGAGTGAGATCATGCAGTATATCTTTCTGTGTCTAGCCTGTTTCCTGTAACTCAATGATCTCCAGTGCTGTCTGTCAAATGGTGATGCACATAAAAGGATGTAACTCTTTTTATAGCTGAATAGTTTTTTATTGTCTAAATTTACCGCATTTACTTTTTCCATTCATCAGCTGGTAGACACTTAGGTTGTTTCTGTTTTCTGGCTACTGTGAGCAGTGCCACCACAACCATGGGAGTGTAAATGTCTCCTAGATAGACTTCATTTCCTTTGGATAGATACACAGTAATGGGATTGTTTGGCTGGATCTATTTTTGTTTATTTGTGTTTATGGTACTGAGGATTGAACTTAGGGCTTTATGCTTGTTAGGCCAGCACCTTACCACTTGAGACACCTCCAGGATCTTTTGCTTCAGATATTTTTCAAATATGGTCTCTCGTTTATGTTTGGGTTGTCCTGGACAGCAATCCCCAGCAACTAGGATTACACAAATAAGCCACTGCACCTGGTTCTATTTTTAATTTTTAGAGAAACTTCCATCCTGCTTTTTCATAATGACTCTACTAACTTATGTTCTCACCAACAGTGTGCAAGGGATCCCTTTCTTACACATCTTCCCCAGCATTTGCTGTCTTTAGTCATTTGATATTAACCATTATTACTGCAGTGAGGTCTATCTCACTGAGGATTTCATTTCCATTTCCCTGATGTTGAGAGACACTGTGCATTTCTCATATACCCAGTAGCTCTTTGAATGTCTTTTTTTTTTTTTGAGAAATGTTTATTGCTCATTTGGGGCCATTATTATTTTTCATTTTTCATTTTACTTTTGTTTCCTGTGGGTTCTTGTCTGAGAAACCCTTGGCCCTTTCAATATCCTGAGTTTATTGACCTGTTTTCTTCTAGTAATTTCACACTTTCAAGTCTTACATTTAAGTCTTTATTCTTTTTCAGTTGATTTCTAAAACTGGTGAGAGTTAGAGGTTGAGTTTGATTCTTCTACTTATGGACATCCAATTTTTTCACACTATTTACTGAGAATTCTGTCCTTTCTCCAGTGTGTTCTTAACACCTATGTCAAATAACAATTGAATATAAATGTGTGGGTTTACTTTAGGCTATTTGTTACTGGTCCAGACCGCTATACTTAATGCCAGCCCCAGGTTCTTTTGAATACTATAGCTTTGTAGTATATATTGAAGTTGGGGAAGGGAAAGTCTCCTGTTTCATTCATTTCACTCAAGATGATTTTGGCTACTTGGGGTTTTTTGTGGTTCCATGTAAATTTTGGAAGAGTGTTTTTTTAGTTCTGTGAAGAATGCAATTGATATTTTGATAGAGATTACATCAAATAGTAAATCACATTGAATTGTAGACTAGGCATTTTAACAATATTCATTCTTATAGTCCATGAACACCAGATTTCTTCTTCCCATATTTTTGCATCCTCTGTAATATTTTTTGTCAATATTTTATAAATTTCATTGTAGAGATTCTTTATCTCTTTGATTATATTTTGTCCTAGGTATTTTTAGTAGGTATTTTAAATTGTATTGCTTTCTTGGTTTCTATTTCAAATAATTCACTGTTGGAATAGAGCAGTGCTGCTGATTTTTGTGTCTTGATTTTGTATTCTGTTTTCTCTTCCTTCCTTCCTTCCTGCCTCCCTCCCTCGCTCCCTCCCTTTCTCTATCCCTTCCTTCCTTTGTTCCTTCCTTCCTTTCTCTTTTTTTGTGGTGATACTGCAATTTGAACTCAGGGCCTCACATTTGCTAAGCAGGCACTCTACCATTTGAGCCACTACTCTGTTCCTTTTTGCATTTTTAAGTTTCCAGGTAGGATCTTGCTTTTGCCCTGGCCAGTCCTTGACCACAATCCTTCTACCTATACTTTCTATGTAGCTTGGATTACAGACATGTACCATCACATCTGGCTTGTTTGTTGAGTTGGGATCTTGTTAACTTTTTCCCATAGACTGTCCTCAAGCTGTGATCCTCCCAATCTCTGCCTCATCAATAGGTGGTGTTACAGGTATGAACCACCATGTCTGACCTTGTATTCTCTTTTCTAAGATTCCTTGTCTTATCAGTGTTTGGCAGTCAATAAAATTCAAAAATAATTTTTGTGAATAGTGTGTAACTAGCAGGTACTGAATTCTAGGCCTATATTAAGTGTTTTCTGAGAATTAACTTATTTAACCTCATTTTAGGAACTAAGGAAGAGAGGTGTAATGACAGTCAGAGTTCTGGCTAGCTAGGAAATGGGAGAGCTGGGACCAGAAGCTAAGCACTCTGGCAGGAGATGAGATTCTCAAACTGCTGTTATTTTGCTGCATTTTACTTCATATGTGAAAAGTGTGATGTGTAATTCAGAGAAAATTGTTTCCAACACAAACTGTTTTCTCTGCCCTTTCTGGAGAAAAGGGTGTGATTTTTTACATTAAAACTTTGTGAAAATCTAATTCAGGGCAAGTGTTATGCTTACTGTAAAATGAGACAATTTTTATTTCCTGGTTAACTCATTTTATTCCTCAATGAACATGAAAGTGGGTTTATCTTTGGGGGGCAGAGACCTTTCTGATCCTTGAGGAAGCTTCTCATTTCTGCACACAAAGTTAAACTAGATGACTTTCTCTCTGAAAAGTATAATAACTAGATTGCCTCATGATCCCTTCAAAATGGAGTGACCAAAAGACAATTAATTCTAAATGATACTATTTCATCAAAGGACATTATTTAATGGAAGAAAAGAGAATTACTCTTCCTATTCTGATTCCACTCTTTATAAATACTTTTATGGGTTCTGAATCATATAGTCAAAATTACAAAATCAGGACTTCACTGTGTTCGGTCTTATTCTAAAGATTTTAGTTTTTGAAATCTTCATAAAAATGAAAAATATTAAAATGTAAAATGGATAATTATTCAGATAATCTATTTTTTTCATTTCTAGATAATTCTAGAGCACTGATTATATTTCTGGCATTTTTGATTATTGTGACATCAATAGCCCTGCTTATTGTTCTCTATAAGATCTATGATCTGCATAAGAAAAGATCCAGGTAAGAGTAAATTTATTAATTAAAACATAATAATTGCAGTAATAATGGGACAAGCCCATATCCATAGGCAGTGACATCCAGTTTAATGAATATGCAAACTAGAGAAGACTGCATGAAGTCCAAATTGTAGAACAAAGAGTTCTAGCATGGTGCTACTGGTTTAATATTAAGTATTTATATTTTCTACATTTGCTAGTGATTTTATGGACTTGTTGCACTAACCAGTGAAAAGAATGCATGTCTGTTATTGTAGCACAAGGTCAGTTGAAGAGATATTGGGAATGGCAGAAACAAAAGAAAGAAGGGAAATACCTGGGAAATTATATTAATTTCTTTTCCCAAAAGAGTGATATTTTATTAAAAACAAGAGGATTAATATGAAATTGTTTAGTCTTGTATCTGAGTTTAACCAAAAACTCTTGGTCAACTAACCAAGTTGGTTGGTTCCTTCCTCATTTTGTTGTTTCCTTACCCCTAACCCCACACCTGTTCTTCCATTCTTCTTTTCTTGTTCTCCTCTTTCCTCCCTTCTCTTTTTTCCTATCATCTCTTCTATCCTTCTTGCCTCCATTTCCTCCTTCCTTAAATATATTCATTAAATAAAATTTACTCAATTAAATTGACTACCAACTGAACTCAAGTGTCCTAAGAATACAGAAATTTATGTTCCTTATTTTCACAGCAATTTAGATGAACAACAGGAGCTTGTTGAGAGGGGTAAGTGCACATTGTGATGATTCTTCCTCCCTGCACTTGTGCTCATTTGTTTTTACACTTAGAATTCGGCACGCTTAATTTAACCTGGACTTCCTCCATTGATGAAACCTAAATTCCCTTATTCTTCAATAAGCAAACATCTATGAAGTCTTTAGTGTATGCTACGTATTGTCCAAGGCACTAAGAATGCCATAGTACCTGGCCACACACTCTGCCCATAAAGGGTTTACAATAATAGAGAAAGACAGATTGCCTTATTGACAATGAGGGTCTTATTTATCAAAAAACAGTAAGACCCTCATTTGGTAAATACCATAAGAGTTGAAAGAGTGTAGTTCCATGCAAAGATAGAAAGCATAGGAAGAGGGCAGGAACCTGGTCTGCTGAGTTTGTGAAGAAACATTAAATGGACAAAGAATGCAAAATGGAAGACCAGATGACAAGTCATAGTGAGGAGGAGGTGGTTGATGTCCTTAGGTCCTTGCTAGGTTAGAATGGTGGCTGCTCTCACCAAGGGCAGACTTATAGACAAGACAAAGAACATCAGTGTGACTTAGATGAGGAAAACAAATACATTTTTTGTCTCTGATTTCTAAATTCTTTCATTAATTTTTAAAAACATATCCAGTAACAATACTTGGAGTTAAAGAAAGTTAAACTATGTTTGTATTAATGAAAGTGATTTGTTTACTCTTACTGATAACAGGCAGAATTTCAAAACTCCTTTGCCTGTGTTAATTTATGTCTGAAGGTTTTCCTTCTGGTAATAGCAGGTGCCACATCTGTGTGTAGAGATTTAGCATTAGCTCTTTGCAAGCCATGGTTGGGTTTATTTTCCTTTGCTGAATGTATCACAACCTGACACTGTGCCATATTTATTCATTTGTTTGTGGGTTATCCTCTCCTAACTGGAATGTAAGCTTTGGAAAGGCAGAGGGGGTTTTCTTTCTTTCACTGCCTTATACACAATACATGTATGGAATTCCATACATGTCAGTGCAAAAATGAATTAACAAGTAACATGTCATAAGAATCAGTGCTAATAGGCAGAAGGAAGAATGAAGAGTGACAAGAATCTCAGGATTCAGCGTAGATTGGAGAGAAGCAAAGATTTTACCTCAAAATTTTTACTGATTGAACCTTGGAAGTGATCAGAAACTACCCACCTGACCCCCATAAAAAAGCCCAGAGGAAGACTAAAGTATAAGAATTGGAATTCATTGATTCATAAGTGAATATTTATATGTGAGTGAGATTTCCAAGGCAGAATGTTTATGAGAAAGAAAGGTGCTAAGGACTTAGTTAATGATACAGATTTCACTAAGACTGCCTGCAGATTTGAAAGGTAGAAATAACACGGGTCTTGAATCTTCAACATCTTCACAGATGATGAAAAACAACTAATGAATGTGGAGCCAATTCATGCAGATATATTGTTGGAAACTTACAAAAGAAAAATTGCTGATGAGGGACGGCTTTTTCTGGCTGAATTCCAGGTATGCAGTGTCCTTGATATGGAATAAGAAAGTCTACTGAGTCACCGAGACAATTCCATTTAAATGTATTTGTATAACCATTTGCCTTAATAATTTTATTCCACATCATTATTATAATACAATTAAGGCAGATATTCTTAGCTGATATTACAGGCCAGATGAGAGACTCATAGAAGTTGTCAAGACCATAGTTTGAAGCTAGTCAATATTTTAGCATAATTTTTTATTCTATTCTTACCCATAATGAAGTCGTGTCACAAAAAGTACTTGGCTCATTTTGTACTTGCACTCCAGATAATACCCAAGCATCTGTCATTATGACGTAGCAACTAATTTAAAATTTTCTATTTTTCATAAGATTTGCTCTTAAAGTAATCCATCATTAGTTTTTCTTTTAATTTTTAATTTTTCATTTATTCACATGTGCACACATCGTTTGGGTCTTTTGTCTCTCCTGACCCCTCCCTCCCTTCCTTCCCCCTCATTTCCAGGCAGAACCTGTTCTGCCCTTATCTCTAATTTTGTTGAAGAGAAGACGTAAGAATAATAAGGAAGACAAAGCGTTTTTTTTGCTAGTTGAGTTAAGGATAGCTATACAGAGAGATTCCTAGCATTGCTTTTGTGTACACGTGTGTTACAACCCAAGTTGATTCATCTCAAACTGATCTTTACCCTGGTTCCTGATCCCCTTCTCATGTTAACCTCTGTCGCTTTAAGGTTTCTGTATTAGTTCCTCTGGAGTGGGGACATCAAACACTTTCATGTTTTGGGTTTTCTACCTACTCCTATATCTCCCCTTGTCATGTGATCCAAGTCCAACCACATTGCTGCATTTGCCCTAGATCTAAATTCCGCATATGAGGGAGAACATACAATTTTTGGTCTACTGAGCCTGGCTGACCTCGCTCAGAATGGTTTTCTCCAGTTCCATCCATTTACCTGCAAATGATAAGATTTCATTCTTCTTCATGGCTGAGTAAAATTCCATTGTGTACAAGTGCCACATTTTCTTGATCCATTCATCCGTAGTGGGCATCTTGGCTGTTTCCATAACTTGGCTATTGTGAATAGCGCTGCAATAACCATGGGTGCGCAGGTGCCTCTGGAGTAAACTGTGTCGCATTCCTTTGGGTATATCCCCAGGAGTGGGATTGCTGGATCATATGATAGGTCTATGTATAGATTTTTAAGAAGCCATCATTAGTTTTTAAGGAAAAAAAGTAATTTTGCCTATTTCCTAATCATGTTAATTTCAGCTACTATATGCAATTTGTTATAAGTATACAGGAAATATTTTAGAATGTCTCATTTACACAGAATAACTGTCAAAGGAAAAGCTATTCTTCCTGAATCTGCTGCAACTCAAAGAATCTTTGTGTCTTCCAGAGCATTCCACGGGTCTTCAGCAAATTTTCCATCAAAGATGCTAGGAGACCTTCCAACCAGAATAAGAACCGTTATGTTGACATCCTTCCTTGTGAGTACTCACTGAGAACTGAATTGGGATCTGTTTACACTGCCTCGCTACTCATTGTTTTACTACTTTATCTTTCTTACACAGATGATTATAACCGTGTTGAACTCTCTGAAATAAATGGAGACGCAGCATCTAACTATATAAATGCCAGCTATATTGATGTGAGTGAAAATGCCAAGTTACAGCTTTCTCATTTTCTCATGGACAGTTTGCATTTGTCTCCTATCTACATGTTCCATTTAGCTACTTCTGCAAAATTTTAGAAAATTTACTAAAAACATTTTGAAGTAAGCCCATAATATCACTGGTATGGACAACAAAATTATGGGTAGTTATAAGAATAGTTATTTATTGTATGCCTTTGGTGCTGGGCATCAGACTAAATGATTTATGCATAGATTTCTCATGACAGACGACATTTGCCCCAAGCATGTGCACTATGCTTTCTGAATAAGACAAAAGAGAGAGAGGCTCACATGAATAACTAAGAGAAAACTTGTTTATATGAAAAATTTTGCAAGGATTTGTAGTCTATAGAAAAAAGAGTTCACATTTTTTGTTCAAATGTATATGGCAGTTATGGGACCAGATTATATGTTTCTCCATCAGAGTTGTGAGCCCCTGCTAAGCTAAAGCCCTCAGCTTGTAGCCAGGTGCTTGACTATAGCCACTCGACAAGTACCTGTTCAATACCTGAACATGCCTAACGATGACATCATAAGAAGGTATAAAATTACTCATGAATTCTGTGGCTTGTGTGCAAATTTTCATTCAGTGGCAGGTCACATCTCTTTCTCTGGAGCTTTTGTCACTGTTAAGATAAATTTAAGGAGTGTGAGAGCCGCACTCCTTTGGAAGAAATTAGAGTATTTTATCTGTTTCTGTGCTCTTTTTTATCTTAGTAGCAGAAGCAGAGGAAGCACACCTTATAGATAACGAAATACACAGTTTTGTATCGCTGATCTGGAATACATAAAGGGACTCCAGAGAATCAGTATCTTCCAACAATAGTTAATAGGTAGAAATGCAATAATTCCCCAGAAGGATTTATTGAAATAAATTGAGTAAAAATCCAAAAAAGTAGCACATGGAGAAGTTTTAAGTAGATGTTATTTTAGGGCTGGTGGAATATACCCTACAGGAATCTGGACTACTCGTATAAATTGTCATGCTATTTCAGATGAGAGAGAAGCCTAGTTTTGGAGTGTGCATACATGTCAATATATAATTGAGTCAGTAAATGACATATCTCTGTATATTTTGAACAGGGTTTCAAAGAACCCAGGAAATATATTGCTGCACAAGGTAACCTATTTGATATTTCAATATTATTTTTGAAAAACGTTTTATTGCACTGTTAAGAAAAATATTTCTTGTGTTTATTTAACTCCTAGGCCCCAGAGATGAAACTGTTGATGATTTCTGGAGGATGATCTGGGAACAGAAAGCCACAGTCATTGTCATGGTCACTCGATGTGAAGAAGGAAACAGGGTGAGAATGCAGAGGGTTTGTAGGGTGGAGGTTGGGATTGGGAAAAGAAAGTGTGGAAGTGTGTTTTGAGAAGCCATACCTATGGGCTTGATAACTCAAATAGACTATCTCTATTTTAATCAGTTAATCTTTGATGAATATTTTTACAGATGAAGAAAAATGAAATTTGTATGTATGTAAATCAAAGTCTATATGTGTAACATTTAAAGACTGATTAATTGCTAGGTTTTTTTTTTACAGCATTGTTAAAATAGCAAATACATTGGAATTTGCTAACTTCACAAGTATGTGTGAATACTCACAGAAGAACTGACCTTGGCAGATAGGTAGCAACTCACATCATATGGGTTTAGGAGGTGCAAAAGCATCTGTGGTCCCCAGCCTGAAATTGACCACAGAAATCCCATCATCTCTGCTGACCACTGAGCATGTCCACCTTTAATATGTAGCTAAGCTGGTCAGTCCGCCCTCCTGCTAAATAGCTTGAAGGAGGTCCTTTAGGTCACATTAATGGGAAACAGAATAGATTTCAAGCATCACAACTTAAGGTGTATTGGGACCTGCTTAAAGCACATATATGAATATTTTGAGAATTTCAGATGAATACATTTTTGGTTTGGGGATTTTTAAGAATATACATTAAAAGTTTGTTTAAGTGAAAAACTGGAATCATTAATGATTTTTTTAAAATATAGAACAAGTGTGCAGAATACTGGCCATCAATGGAAGAAGGGACTCGGGCTTTTGGAGATGTCGTTGTAAAGATCAATGAGCACAAAAGATGTCCAGATTATACCATTCAGAAACTTAACATCACCAGTGTGAGTGGGTTTTCTTACCTACTTTTTGTTTTTGTATTTTTATTAAATGGCAACTATGAAATACTCAATGTGAGAAATTAAAATACCTCTGGGAAAAATATTTTTAGTGTTCAAGAGAAAAAGCTAGATTAGAACAAGAATCCAAGTTGGCAGGCTCTAATCTAGGTCACTGATCAAATCAAAAGTATTAGTTATGCCGGATTCTCAAAGTATTAAAAAGGGTCATTAGATGTGTTGGATCAATGATTAAATTGGATAAACAAATAGTCCTTATTTTCAATGGGTTCTTACCATTATGGAAGGAATATTCATACCAATGGTGCAATTCATGAGCACTTTAGGAAATAAAGTTCTAACTAAATAGTAGAGACAGTATTTAGTTCAGAATATAAAGAGATCAGTGTGGCCTTGATGATAGTTGAAATGGGGGCCATGTATTATGTATCTCCATGTGTATGAATATACAAGATAGGCCAGCCCAGAAAGGCAGAAAAGTGATTGGTGGTTGCCTTGGGCGCAGGGCTCAGAATGGGGACTGGAAGCTAACGGGTCCAGGCTTCCATTCTACAGTGACAAAAATATTCTACAATTAGATAGTGGTAATGTACCACTCTGTGAATATAATTAAAACGCCTTAAATGGGTGAACTTTTTGACTTATGAATTATATCTTAATAGTTCTACTTAAAACATAAAGAAATGAATTTTTTTCTGAATTGCATTGGTTAGGGGATTTTCAGTAATCTAATTTTTATTTCTACATAGTCCAGATACATTTTCTGTAGGAAAAACAGACAGTGTGTATTTCTCCAAAGCTCTGCTCCTGGGCATTATTAACCTGTCTGTGCTTAAGTGCTGATAAATAACACTACCAAGAGTTCATGGTTAAATCCATGATTGATGAAGCCACAAAGGCCCCCAACCCATAGTTATGGGTTGATAGGTAGAGACTGATGCCACCTGGTTAGTGATTAGTTCAATGTTACTCTTCTTAACCAACTCATACTCCCTTCCAGAAACCTACAAATAAAATGCATATTTTTATTATTTATTGTTTTAACTTGATGATTCTGCCATGTGGGGGCCTAGGGAACAGAGTGTTAACCACCTAATTAATTAGACTTCTCCATGTTAGAAATAGTCTTGTTTGTTGGTGTACTGAACAGAAGAATTTTCCAAGGCTGTGAGAATGACCTTGCCTTGGTTATTTTCTCACACATGCACCCGGACTTCCACCTGCCTCTGCCAGCCCCACTGCTTTTGGCGTGTTTATTCTTGTTGTTTTGGCTTTGCAGCATGGCAGGTCCTAGGAGTTTCAACTACTCTTACCTTACCTTGCCTTCCTCCACTGGTAAGTCATTGCTCACTGGCCAATGCATGTGAATCCTGCATGATCCCTCAACTACTAGTTATTGATTAGAAGGGAAATCCAGTCCTGGCTGGAAAAAAATTTACAGAACGTGAGGAAAAGACCTGGAAGCAATTACGTTTGCATGAGGAGGTTTTATACAGGTCCCTCCTGCTACTTATTCATGTAGTATTATCTCTTGATAGAAAAAAGAAAAGGCAACTGGAAGAGAGGTGACTCACGTTCAGTTCACCAGCTGGCCAGACCATGGGGTGCCAGAAGATCCTCACCTGCTCCTCAAGCTGAGAAGGAGAGTGAATGCATTCAGCAACTTCTTCAGTGGTCCCATTGTGGTACACTGCAGGTACATAGACATCTGCAGCACTCAGGAGTCCACTGGTCCTGGCCCTCACACCTCAGGCAATAGGGACATCCTCCCCTTTGGCGATTCCCATGCCTGGAAACAATCTTCTTGGATAACCTTACTTTCTTATTTTAAACAATTTTTATTATAAATTGACAGCTTATAACTGTGTAAATTAAAAGGGTACCAAAGTGATGTGATGATTTAAGAATACAATGGCAAGGGTCCTGTATAGAATATATTCTTTCTTTGACGATGGTCCTGGAGTTTGAACTGATGGTCTCACACTTAGCTAGCCAGATGCTCCACCACTTGAACCACTCCCCCAGATGTTTTTTGCTTTAGTTATTTTTCAGATAGGGCCTCTTGCTTTTTGCCTAGGCTGGCCTGGGATGGTCATCCTCCTACTTATACCTCCCCTGTAGCTGGAATTGCAAGGGTATGCTACCACAGCCCAGGGGGGACTTTCCTTCCTTTTACCTCTGCTTCATGCTGGACAGCTTTTCCATTTGCTTCCTTGCCCTGATGCTGCCTCCATCCTTATGTTTGCTTTCTCAGTGCTGGCGTGGGACGCACCGGAACCTACATTGGAATCGACGCCATGCTGGAAGGCCTGGAAGCCGAGGGCAAAGTAGACGTTTATGGTTATGTCGTCAAGCTGAGGAGACAGAGATGCCTCATGGTTCAGGTGGAGGTACGTTCTCACTGCTGATGACTGTGCTCGCTTCTGGACTAAGTCTTTTTGGTGTAGTGGTAATGATCCTGAAAGAACTAGGCACTTACACAACTTCAAAGGGTGGGTGAAGATCATTTTCTTTTTAAAGTTCTTGAAAACTAAAAATTAGTTTTGCACTGATGTCTAAAAGTATTACGGGAAAAAGGTGAACATAAAATTTATTTTTAATAATGAAATGTCATTCATGTATATATATAATATATATATGAATGTATAATATATATATACATATATATATATATATACATATATATATATATATATATATACCAGGCAGGGAAAAAATAGAAAGAGATTTGGAGACATAATAAGATCTGTCATAAAATAGGTCATAAAATAAGACCTATTGAAACTGTTCCAGGAATGAGGGGGTGAGGAGATAAAGGAGAAAGATGGAGGGAGTGAATTAAACAATGATATAGTGTAAAGACTTTTGTAAATGTCACAACATACCCCCAGCACAGCAATAATAAAAAAAGAGAGACATAGGGAAAAAACCAATGAATATAGAATTTTTAAACCTGTTGAAATCACCATAAGAAGGGGACTGAGGTAGATAGGAGAAAAATAGTGGGGATGGACCAGTTCAGGTTATAATACATATACATGGAATGGTCACAAGGAAACTCCTAGTATAGCTATCTTAAATAAATAAAAATGTCATTTTTTTCCTGTCTTAGGGATTGGTACCAGTGGGAGGGGGGGAAGAGGTAGGGAAAGGGTGTAGGAGGATGAATATTTTGCAAATACTGTGTATCATGTATGTAAATGAAAAAATGAGACCTGTTGAAACTATTCTAGGAATGGGGGTGGGGAGATAAAGGAGAATCGTGGAGGAGTTGAATTCAACTATGAAATAGTATAAGAACTTTTGTAATGTCACAATGTAGCCCCAGCAGAACCATAAAAAAAAGAATAGTGAAATAGTGTAGTGATCAAGGGCTTACTTTATTGAAAGCAACGTCTGATGATCTAATTCTGCTTTGAATTTTTAGTCCTGTACAGCCTTACACAAGCTTTTAATCTTTCTGTATCTTGGTTAAATCATTTCCTTAAAAATACTGGATTCAAATATGGTAAAAAGGATTTGCTAAATTTGAGTCTGGCATACTTGATCTTTTAAATAATTTTCTATATTTTAGAAAAGCTTTACCTATAAAATATGAAAAATGAAATATCGACCTACTTTTTTCTGATATGCTATGGAATTTTTGAAAGTCACATAGTATTAATTTTGAACTTAATAATAGTGATGGAAGGAAGTAATGGACATTTTTTAAAATCAGGGATAAAATAAAATTTATGTACTATATAATGGATACTCTACTTGACAAGCTACATTTTTCCCAGAAAAATACAGAAGTTGCTCATATTTCAGACAGCTGTAAGAGCCAACTTTCAGAACACTGACAGGTGTTAAATATCAGCCTTCTTTTGCCATACATTGTTTTAATATGAGAGAAATTATGGGGATTCATATTTTATTTAAATGTGACTTACAAGACTCTACATTATCAATGATCTGTATTTTTTCTTGATATTATAGGCACAATACATCTTGATCCATCAGGCCTTGGTAGAATACAACCAATTTGGAGAAACAGAAGTGAGCTTGTCTGAATTACATTCATGCCTGCATAACATGAAGAAAAGAGACCCGCCCAGTGAACCGTCTCCACTAGAGGCTGAGTTCCAGGTAAGGACAGTCATAAGAAAGACAATTGTAAGTAACATTCATCGAGTGTGTGGTTTGCCGGGTGTTTGCTGGGCATAGTTCTTGTGTCTGGGCCTCAGTACAACCAATGGGGTAGAGATGAGGGAACAAAGAAACAGAGAGTTTGGAAGAAATGCCTGAAGTTACGCAGCTATTATGAAGGAGGCTTGTTTGAAACCAGAAGACTGAATCTACAGGAACACATTTAAACATTCTTCATCAACCTAGTGGAGAATGAAATGTCAAAACAATAGCGTTCAGCCACAAAACTGGTCTGCCACAGGCAATGCAGCATCTCACCGTTAATAACTACATCTGGTTTGGGTTTGTAAAGGAAATAATTAGAGGAGTTTCTGACTGATTAGGAAGTCGACCTGGCTGAAGCTGGTGGACAAAAAATAAAGGGTATGTGAGTCCTACCCTACCAGGCAATTATTCTGGCAGCCAGGAAAGTATTGGTCACTGGTTTCAGAGAGCTGACATAGCTATCTATAAGGTGCTTAGTTGTCAAAGGTGGTTTGTAATTTTTCTCTTCTACCTGTAATTTCCAGTTTACCAACTCTTTCTGAGAACTATCAAAGTGGACTATTCAGAAAGAGTTATAACAGCAGGAATGTGGTTTTAATCAGATGCAGAACTATTTAGTTTTAGGATTGAAGTAGGGCAGAGGAGGGAAGCAGACATGGAGTACACAGTAATTGAGTAACGGAGGCCCCAGAAGTCCAGTTCTTACAGTGGAAGAACTTGCAGGCACAGTGAAGCCCTTAAGCAGAAGGTTGCTTTATTGTTTTGTTGCTCTTTCAGCTGATAAATTTACAATAATCAATACATTGACCCTATTAAACCACATATGCACATAGGCCATTGGAAATGTTTATACATTTAAAGTAAGCATTTGTATCCATAGCCACTGAAAACAAGAGATTATTTTTTCACTGAACATGTACAATTAAATTTCTGCTCTATGCCAAGTATAATTCTAGGCACAAAAGGTGATTTGCAAATGAACTGGGCAGAAAGTCTGAGTATATCACTCAGAGCTCGTGCAGTGTCTCTAACCCCGTGAAACCAGTGAAATTACTCCATCCATGCAGACAGGAAGATGGAAAATGAAGGTAGAGATGCAGAATGATTGGTGAATTTGGTGATGGGAAGTTGAGGTATTTCTTGTCTGAATGTTTTCCTTTCTAAAAAATATGTATTTGAAAATTTTAATTGACACATGTTTGAACATATTTATGGAGTGCTGTAACTCCATTTGTAATTGAAATAGCATAGACAATGTGCAATGACCAGATAAGCAGAACTGGCATTACTGTACTTCAACCCTGATTGCCTTTAATTTCTCAAGAAGATAGGGGGTAAGATGATCAGATAAGAACTGAGGGGTATTGGAGTGAGTAGGGCAAAACCACCCTCACTAGGTAAGGAAAGGGAGAGAGTATGAAAGATATCTCAAAGTAGGAAAGCAGTCCCTCCGGGAAAAGGTAGTAAGGTGGCTAGAAATTCTCATCTGATCTTTTGAAAGTTATGATCATGAACTTAAAGAGGATCAGCTAATTGTAGGCACTGTTTTCTAGGGCAATACTGAGCCCTCTGGGGATAGGAGCTATGTATGCAGATAGATGAGTTAAATCCTTCTGTATTTGAAAAGTGACTAGATGAAAGTAGAGAGGCAAAAGAGTTGAGGGTGTTTATAAGTGAATGATTATAATAGTGACAATAAAGAAAGAACTGGTCACCCGAAGAACATGAAAGAAAGCAGTGAAGACCTTGCATTGGGGCGCCAAAGGATTTCCTAATACCACCACCATGGAGATCAAGCCTTCACAATGAAACTCTGAGGCACATTCATCCAAACCATAGCTTCTGACAAGAGTTAAGGGACAAGTTAGCTCTTTTCCGAGAATTGTGGAATTTTGTTTTTCTAGAATATGGAGGAGCCCAGAGGGGTATGAGGCTAAAGAGACACAAGACACATCCCTAAAGGCTACTTAGGGCACAGCATATGGTTTGCTGCTTCCTCATGATAGTGAGAATGGAGAAGAGCCTGACACTTCTGTGTTGTGTTTAGATTCAGAGGATTCGACATTTAATATAAACAGGCCAGTTATGAAACCATTGATGCTTTACAAGTGAGAAATAGAAACTGGACTAAGTAGAAAGAGAGCAAAGCAAAAGAGCCTGTGAGCTCCACCAGTAACAATGACAGTTCTTGTTGACTGATTAGTCACTGTGAGTGGGAAGGACAGCAACCTGGAACATGCAATCAAATGAAAAACCATGCCTTCTGTGAATGCAGCACCTGTGTCTGATCATTTAAAAAGATTTGCCTTTGCTTTTGCACTGTGGATAATAATGAACATTGATAATAGTGCTTCTAAAACTTATCCTGAACAAATGGCTGTCAAGCAGCTCTGAAGTAAGAAGCATATTTTGTTAGATTAATGTGTGTTTTTAGTTCCAGGTCACCATATCAAATGTACACACAAAGGGTTAATGGCAAAATTCACTGGCAAACTTAAATTGTAACCAAATGGAATGTGTGCAAATTTCACAAAATATTGATGAAATGCTTTGCTGTGGGCAGCACCTCATAGCACAATAATAATTAAGTCAACATTTAGTTTTTAAAGGAGTTTTCCATTCTATTTTCTTTTCAGAGACTTCCTTCATACAGGAGTTGGAGGACACAGCACATTGGAAATCAAGAGGAAAACAAAAAGAAAAACAGAAATTCTAACATCATTCCATGTATGTAGCTTACTTTTTATTTTTTTGCATCGGATAAAGACAAGCTCTTTTGGTTTTGTTTAATTTGAGACACACAAACACGTGCTCTTGAGGCAAATTCTCAACATTTTTTGACAACAGCAGTTAATAGGTAATTTAAATTTTATTTTTTAGCAAATTATTTGAACCCCAAGTATTTTCAATGGACTTTGGAGGATAGACTGTATTTAGTATTTTCTTTGTGACAATTTTCTTCAGAAATGGATTGTAAGAAAGAACAATCCATTTGTTCTTTCTGAGAGAGCTGGGAGAGAATGGACCATATCTCTTTTACGACTTCTCTCTCATTTTTATTATGTTTCAGGGTAATTAATTAGCAAATAGCAAACTTTATGTCCATTCAGTCTCTTTATGTCTTCTCTTTATCTTTTATATCTGGGAGTGTGGAAAATACTCAACAAATGGCCAATCAGCAAACTTCATAAAAAATTTGTAGGTTTTCAGACTTGAATTCTACTATTTAATCTTGTTGATGGATTCACATCTGGTATGCCTATAGGTTTATTCGGGTGCATATACTAAAATTAGCATGGATGAAATATAAGCCAAAATGGAAAACTAGACAACCAAATGAATAAATCAGTTCATGGGTGACCTCGTTAACTTCTTGCAGAAGTTCTTATGAATAGAATTAAATTATGAAACTGGTTGTGTTACAGTAAAACAGATCACTGACAGCTTAGTGTAAATTTAAAATATTGGGAAAAGGACAAAGTTTTGGACTAAGCAATTTTTGGACTAAATAATAGTTAATCTGAGATACCTATGTAATGGAGATAATTAATTTAATGATAATTGACTATAACTGAGAAATAAAAATCTAAACTATGTATTTTTTAACTTATATCAAGCAGAATGATAATATTCCATGGAAAACTAGAGCAGATGTCTCAAAGATTGAATAATTAGTTGGAACATTATGATTATTTATTTGTTATGTCTCATGTTTTTTCTTATAACCTTCTTGGGGCCATCATTGTTAGGTATTTAAAAAATTGTTAATAATGAATACTGAATTTTATGTAGGATTTGATTGTATCTAGATCAGTGCATTTAATTATAAATTAATTTTCAGTTTCCACATGTCAGAAATTTGATTAGTTTATTTTTTCTGTGGTGCTCTGCCACTGGGATTGAACCCAGGGACTAGTACCTGCTAAGCCTGTGCTCTGCTGCTGAGATACATCCCCAGCCCTGATTACTTGTCAGGGAAGACTCACTACTACTGTGTCTTATAGATGACTTTAACAGAGTGCCACTTAAACATGAGCTGGAAACCAGCAAAGAGAGCGAGCATGAGTCAGATGAATCATCTGATGAGGACAGCGACTCAGAGGAAACAAGCAAATACATCAATGCATCCTTTATAATGGTAGGACTTAAACTACCCCAAACCAATGCCCTTTCCTTTTAAAATCATATCTATTTTATAAGGGCCATTTGCTATACAATTTTGCAAAAGAACGATGAGCTTTGTCACCACTGCATACTGGTTGACACAAAAGTTTTAACTTTTGATGCTCTATTTTAACTTAGGAATCAATCTAAAATGTAAGTACCTAATGAGTCAATTAGAGATAAAATTACTGTTGGTTATATTTTATGATAGAATATATATAAATTGAGTCAAAACAAGTACTTGAAAATTCTTGTTATTACTCAGATACCCAAATTACAAGCAAGTCCACATCTACACATTGATAGAGTTAAAAAAAAAACTTTTCATTCAGATTAACTGCATTATTAAGTGAGTCTGTGTCACATGTGTTTTTTAAAAGTAAGCTGAGATTTCAAGCAAGGATATTTTACTCATTCAGTACACATTTATTTATATATACTAAGTTGCATTTATTTCTTCTCCAAATTTTCCAAAACACACATTCAACGAATATCAACTTAATTATCCCATATCATATGAATGTATAGACACCAATTAAAGTACAGGAGTGATGAAGATAATTTTAAATGCTTTTATAACAAGTTACTATCACATTAAGCTTTATAGTGAAATAAAGACATTGTCTGGAATAAAACCTTGCTTGTTTTTCAAGAAATACTATGTATCTTAATCTTGATTTCCCATTATTACCTAAGAATTATTATTTGCATAAGTATTATATATATATATATTATATATATATATAATTACATTGTTCTTGGACTAAGAATCTTCCTATTTTTATGAAGTGGCATTATATCAAATTCAATGACTTTTTTTGCAAATGGTTATCAAAATCAGACAGCAGTGGTAACAGAATCCCACCTTTGCCTTTCTAAAGAGTTACTGGAAGCCAGAAATGATGATTGCTTCCCAAGGACCACTGACAGAGACCATTGGTGACTTTTGGCAGATGGTCTTCCAAAGAAAAGTCAAGGTCATTGTTATGTTGACAGAGCTACAAAATGGAGACCAGGTTTGTACTTTTCTGTGATAAAATGTCATTTTCCATTCTTGGATGTCTTGCTTGATCACAATGCCCATGTCTCTTGGACCCCTCTGTCACACAATCTCATTTGTTTCACCTATTGGGTCCACCCAAGGTTAGTGCTCCATGAACTTGAGTCAGGACTCTGATATTCTTTCATGGTTGCCATTCTCCAGTCATGCACACACATGAAGGTGCAGTAACTACAGTGTCACAACAAACAGCTGCATTTTATCTCTACTTTCTTCAAGTTGAAACCCTAGCTCCTTATCCGATATTAAGACCAAAAACCAAGTAGTCATTTAGCTTTTCACTTTTCTCCCAGTTTTATGTTTTACAGCATACTCTCCACTCTGGACAAGTAGTTTAGCACTGAATTTTCACTGTTCTCATTCTCCTCATTGAGTCTTAATTTGCTCACATTCCATATGCCTACATGTGTCCTCTCTTTCCCACTTAACCCTATTCTCCTCCTCCTTCAGTACTGGGGCTTGAACTCATGGACTTGCATTGGACTTGCTAGGTAGGCCCTCTACCACTTGAGCTATGCCTCCAGCTCCCTCTTTGCTTTAGTTATTTTTCAGATAGGATTGCACATTTTTTCCCTGGGGCCAGTCTAGCCCATGACCATCCTATCTAGGCCTCCCGCATAACTAGGATCACAGATGTGATATCTGGTTTATTTTTTTTTCATACTTGGTTTATATGTTGAGATGTGGAGGATCTCACTAACTTTTTGCCCAGGTTGACCTCAACCTTTGATCCTGATCTTTGCCTCCCTCATTGCTGGGATTATAGACACAATCCACTACTCCTGACCTATTATTTATTTTTAACAAAGGAATATATGTTCAAATTTCCAGCATGGAATGCCACCAGTGTTTTCCTTCATCTACATTGTGAAAGCTGTGAAACAAAAAACTACCATCAGGAATTCCTGTAACTGTCAGCAGTTGTAGGATGGCAATTGGTAGGGAGCAGTTTGCAGAGGGAGGAAACACTTTTGTGATCCACATGCTCTCCAGGCTGTCCATTACTGGGATGTCCCATAGCTTAGTGGCTTGTGGAGTTGATCATCAAGATGCAAATCTTGATGAAGATCTGGAGGACCAGTGGAGGATCAGTGGGGCCTGAGTTATTGGAAGCATCATGACAGATTTCATCACAATCTGTAGACTTTGGAGATGTGATGATCAAGATGTGGAAGGAAAGACAGAATGTGCAAGACCTGTACTAGGGAAGGAAGAGCTATCCTTAGCCATCTTGATTATTTCCAGCTTTCCCTTATCTGCATACGGAAATTCCATTTATTCGTTAAATGGGTGTTCACCATATTTAAATAAATGTTAGATTTTTATGGGCAAGCTTCAATTTAGAACACAATCAATAATTTCCATTTGATAGGAAATAGGGAAGGAGAGAGGAAGAGGAAGATGGGGAGGGAGGAAGAGGAAGATGGGGAGGGAGAGAGACAGACAGACAGACAAAGGCACAGAGAGACAGAACAGAGATTCTTTGAATGCTTTAAATAGGCAACCCAACAGGGAAGAAATTGTTTAACCATGTTCCTCTCATCCAGGAAATCTGTGCTCAGTACTGGAGAGAAGGAAAGCAAACCTATGGAGATTTAGAAGTTGATATGAAAGAAACAAGCATATCTCCATCTTATACTCTTCGTGTGTTTGAACTGAGACATTCCAAGGTAAATACATGATTTTGAAAGTATTTATTTATGATATGATTAACATGGTAGCAAAACTAATATAAATTACCTTATGCAAGTAAAGATACTGTCAATACTATGGATCAAATAAAATTTTGAATCATTGAAATGAAATTAATTATGAAGGAAAGACAACTAGCAAGCTGTGAACTGTACTGAGCTGCCTTTGAGCTAATGTTCCCTTCACTTCTGGTTTTAGAGGAAAGATCCTCGTACTGTGTACCAGTACCAGTATACTTCCTGGGGTATGGAACAGCTGCCAACAGAGCCCAAAGAATTAGTCTCTCTGATTCAGCTCCTCAAACAAAAGCTTCCCAAGAAGAATTCCACAGAAGGAAATAAGTGTCACAAGAGTGCACCTGTCTTAATTCACTGCAGGTAGGTAAAATTTGGCAAAATATACTCTAAATATCATACCACTAAACTTCTTGGTTAGCACTTTCTCTTAATTTCCATCTATCAGGCATGGTGACCACCATGAAAACCTATTATGAAGTCATTTATTCTCTCAGTTATTCTTGTACAGCACAGCCATAATAGAGATATAGTAGAAATGATTGGACTATCATCAATGATTTAGTCTTTGACTGCTTTCATATTAAGTTTTATGTCATCTTTGATTTCTTAATACCTAATGGTGAATCTAGAATGTTCTATGTGGTAGCACACAGATGGATGAGTGGAAAGATGGATGAAGAGATAAGTGGATGGATTGCATTACACATATTCCCATGAGTGTTGATCTACTCTGCTAGAGGTTACAGACTCCAGAGGACTGAGTGCTTTGCCTTCAGTAAAAATCTCTTAATTTAAATATTAACTGAAATCTCAATGCTTAGCAACTTTGGTTTAAAACTCATTTTTGATTTTTCTAAACTGATTTCAAAGGCAAAGATTTTAGTAATGCAAGTAATATTACTTGATTTTATTAATTTATTTTATGCAGATCTTTGAATTTCACCTGTAGTAAATGTCTTAAGTAAAGATATTAAAAGAAATATGCATAACATAAAAAGTTTACATAAAAAGAATATTAAAATAAATGAGAAATAGAAGATAGTATCTAGTGAAATGGTCTCAGAATTTTTGAAAAAGCCTTATTACTGGAATCACGTACTCTAAGCCACAACCTCAGAATCACATTACTTTTCCACATTTATTTGAATTTTCAAAAGTGAAATTTATGTGGAAAGAAAACTGAAGAAGGGATATGTCTCTTAGGATATGATTGAATATCTATGCTAAGTTCCTTAGTTAGGTACGACACACAGTGCCCTGCTATAAATTATTGCTTGAGTCTTTACTTGTGGTGTTTTAGACTTCTCATAATTTACTAAATCATTTGGTTGTTGTTTTAAATCCGCTAGGCATCACTGTTCTACTGATGTCAAAGTAGAAACATTTGCAAAAGGCAGTAGAAAGGAAGAGAGGAAAAGAAAAACATATCGTCTAGTAATGTACAAAATATAAGGAATATTTCTAGTTTAATCATTTCTTAGTTATGCTGTTATCGTCCCTAAATCTTGCTTTCTTCATCTATCAAATTGGCATTACAACCTTGGTCCTAACATAAATGTAAATAAAAATGCATGAAGTATAAATAGAAGAAAAAATATTTTTAAAGACTAATATAAATATTTTTTACCATCTTAACACTTTTTTTTGCAGTTCTTGGAGTTTGAACTCAGGGCCTTGCACTTGCCGAGCAAGAACTTTGCTATTTAAGCCACATTCCCAGGCCTAAATCAAAAACTTTTTAACCTCCAGGATCACCATAATCATAAATCAAGGCAGTTTGCCCCAAAATGCATTCAGTAGAAATAATTCGGCCCTTAAGAAATTAGAGAGAATGATTACAATAATCATGAAGGAAAACATATATTTCATCCTCTTGTAGTTTTTATGTCACTACCACTTTCTCCATAAAAATTATTTTCTTTTTTTATTATTTGTTTCCTTAATAGAGATGGATCTCAGCAAACAGGGGTATTTTGTGCTCTGTTAAATCTCTTGGAAAGTGCAGAAACAGAAGAGGTTATAGACGTTTTTCAAGTAGTAAAGTCTCTACGCAAAGCTAGACCAGGAATGGTTTCCACATTTGTAAGTATTCCTCACCATTACCCTAACGTGCTTTGCATCTTCATGGAGACACTTTCCTTTCTTTTCTCTTCCCTTCCTCTCCCCTCCCTGCCCTTTGGTCTCTTCTCTCTTCTCTTAGCTCCTCTCCCCTCCCTCTCTTCCCTTCCCTTCCCTTCAGTTTCTCTTCCCTTCCTCCTTCTCTCTGCTTCCCCCTTCTCTTTTCCTCCCTTTTCTTCTTTTCTGTTCTGTCTTCAATTTTATATTATAATTCATATTGAATTATTACCAACATAAATAAAAAACCTATTTAGAATTTGCTGGCATGAACTGTCACAGTTCATGAAGTCTATATCCTTAAATGCTCATGAATCACTTGGTTTCTCTTCTGTTAGTCCGTTATCAATTGATGCTGTTAGGTAACAAACCACTCCAACATTTAGTTCAATAATAGGTTATTGTTCTGCTGGGCTGTTCTAGTGATCCATTCAGGTCAGCCAATGAGACCAGACTCACTCATAAGTTAGCCGTTAACTGATGTGTCTGCATGGGTATGGGTGATGTAAACAAATGACTTCCACTAGCAGGAGGCTGGCAACTGGCTGACATTTAGCTGTGGCAACAGAAGTGCATGGGATACATGCTGCTCCCTCCTTCCTTATCAGAAGGGAGCCCAGGCTTCTTCAGATAAATTGGCAGCATTGCCAAGAGGGCAAGCAGAAGTGTGTGAGACCCTTGGAAGCCTTTGCTTGGAACTAATGTATGTCTTCTTCTACATTTTATTAGCCAAACAATTCACAAATCCAGCTAACAATGAAGTGATGGGAAAATAAACCCTACCTCTTATTGAAAGGGAGTGTAGTCACATTGCAAAGAAGTGCACACAGGGAAAACAATAACTGCTTAATTTTTGTAATCACTCATGCATCCCTTCTATGGGACAGTGACTCTAGATGATCATCTGGGAATTAGTAATTATTCACAATTAAACATAATTTTTATATGGAACTTCCAATCCTGTATGAATTGAGTTTATATGTTTTGATTTAAAAAATATGTCAGGTGTTAAAAACTTTTGCATTTAAGAGACACTAAAGAGTGAGCCTCTAGGTAGGTGACACTTGCTCTGGTTCTTAAATGATGTGTAGGCATTAGCCAAGACTACAAGCACCAAAATGGTACCATGGGCAAAGGTCAAGACATCACATAGTGTGTGAGAGGAGTGGATGCTTGCTAGGTGTCGCTATAAGGCCAATTTTGAAAGTACCCTGTAGTTGAGTCTTTAGAACTGTAAGGAATCTAAATCACTCAGAATGTTCCTTATGAGAACATGTCAAAGAATTTTTCATTCATCCAGACTTCCACAAGCAAATGATTGGTTCTTGATAATTTTCATCTAACACAAAAATAGTTGCATCAACTTTCTTCATAGTTTCTTGCTACTTTCCTTCACTAGGAGCAATACCAGTTCCTGTATGATATCATTGCCAGCACCTACCCTGCCCAGAACGGACAAGTAAAGAAAATCAGCAAACATGAAGACAAAATTGAATTTGATAATGAAGTGGACAAAGCAAAGCAGGAGGCTAATTGTGTGAGTCCACCCAGTGCCCCAGATAAGACCCATGAAGGAAACCAAGTGATGGAAGCCACAAGTGGCAATGAGTGGCCTGAACAACCTGTCAATGGTCCAGCAAGCCCAGTTTTAACTCAGAGCTCATAGGAAAAGACAACCCAAACCTCACTCACTGTTACTTCCATTTCTATTTTACTACAGGAGAAATATTTAAGTCATTTTTTCTAAAATGTTTTGTACAGGCTTACCCTTATTTTTAAAATTTATCTGTCATTCAACAAAAACCTTGTTTGTAGTCTTTGCATGTGGATGTTTGCATGTGCACGTGTGTGTGTACGATTGACAGAATCTAAATGCTCCTGAGAAACTCCCTTTTTGCAATATTGGAACTGTTAATGTAGATTGAAAGATCTAATTTTCAAATCGTGTCACATGTGGACGATGTAAGAATAATGTGTACATTTCTGGAATCACCTCAAGATGTCCTCCTCGTTCTACTCATAAATACCTTACAGCTTACTGCTTTACTTCTAGACACAGTGCAGAAAAAGTAGTTAGTGGGGTACAGCTATTACACAAATGTTAACTAAATTAGCATTTGAAAATATTGTACTCCATATGTTAAAATGTTAAAACTTAGTCCAATAGCTTTTAAGCATACTTATCCTAATTTAAGCTTTTTAAGGGAGTTTAGACTGCTGGCTACATAGGGTTTACAGCTTCACAACATGGATTAGTCACTGTAAAATACGTGAAATCTATTGCTTGATAATTGTGACCAAATTTAAGTTTGTTACAATTGAACTTAAATAAACATCTTTAAAATAAGCAAATGCAATATAGGACTCAGAGGAGGCAGGAGAGGAAAAGAGAGTGATGGGCAGTCAACAATATCAAAACACATGACATCTGTGTAGGTAGAGGACTTAACAGAACATACTGAAAGCAGGTACATAATGGGGGTAGGAGGGAAAGGGTAAAGAAGAGTAATAGGGTGGACTAATCTGACCAAAGCACAGTATATTCACAGCTGAGAAACCATGGAGAAACCTCTTTAAACAATGAATATGAAAGTTAAAGTGAAGAGCAAGATTGTAAAATAGGTCCTGTGAGGCGGTGGATACTTACAGGAAGAGAGAGGGTGAATGGAGGTGATAAAGGAGGGCAAATATGGTTGATATACTTCATATACTTATATGAAATAAAATAATTTAACCTTTGTCATAGTTTTAAGCACAAGGAGAAGGGGATGAGAGAGAGAGGAGGTGTACCTAAGCAAGGTGCAATGTACACATGTATGGAAATGTCACAATGAATTCCCCATACAACTAATAAAGGTTAATTTTAAAAAGCTCCTCTGATAAAAATGGGATCATGCAAATATATTTGTGCCAAATATTTACATTAAAACATAATTCAGTTATTTTATGAAATTGGACATTGGTGTGAGAAATATATACTGCACGTGAGTATTCCCGTGCTTACTCCATCCTTCATCTTCATTAAAGTGCATTTAGTTTGAATTTTTCAAATGCTTAGATTGCTTTTACCAGGAATTAATACCAATTGTCATAATAATATTTAAGTGTTATCTTTCTTGCTTATACTATATCAAGTGTGTTTCATGTGTTCACATATGAAATGTGTATGTACGTATTAAAGTAGCTTAATGCAGTTAATAACATTTTTTGGAACATTTTTACAAGTATCAGTTTTTTTTAAAAATGACTCATAGTCTACTAACTGTATAGGATCTAGGACCTAAGAAACTCAAGAATAGTAATATTTTTATTTTCCAGTATGTAATAAAAACAACTCCTTTTGTGAATTATGCATCTTATCACATTTTTTCACATACTACCTTTGGGTTGGGTTGGTTTTTCTATGTCTTCATACCTCTGGTGGCTTTTAAATGGCTTAGCTATACATCATTGATTACTGTTGAAACAACTCACTTCATTTTGTGTTCTTAGTTCTAATTCTTTTATTATTATAACACATAAAATTAGCTACTAATCCTTATGTTATTGTATAGTCTTTTATGAAACCCATGAAGAAAAGTGAAATTTACAATGGAACAATTTCAATGTTACATTAAGTGAACTATCACCTTTTTACTTACTAGTGAGCAAAAAGGAATTTACAATCACCAATCACAGGCATGAGAAAGCAAGAAAGCTTGCTTTTACTTCTCACTTTGGTACCCTAGTCTCTTCTACGAAATTTTGACCAGTTGCCATATATTAGATAGTGTAGCTAAAATTTGTAATTCCATTGCTCAGTAGACTCATGTGACATGGAATGGTAAGCATCTATTTTTATCTGTGGGTTGCTTCAAAATACAAATAGCATTACATTATCTATAAATAAAGATTTTCTTCAAAGGTTTTAGCTACAAGTAGCCTCTCCCCAATGGATGTTGTGTGTCTAAAATGCTTATTATCTACTGGAGACTATTCTTTTAAAGATACAAAATACTTAGGAAATGGGAGATGGTAATTTCTATTCACTTAAGAAGCAAACTAGAAACATTTTTTTCTATAGTAAATGGGACGGTGTTTTAAAGGGAGAGGTAAGAATTGGCCAGAAGCCCATTGTTCTATGAGGTTCATAAATCACCAGAAGGTGAGACTCAGCAACTAGAATGCAGAATGATACATCTGTAATTTTTAACTTAAAAAAGAAAATATGTGAATTACAGACACATGTTATTGTCCATGGGTTGCAGTCATACAAAATATACAAGATTTCTTTGTTAAAGTTTGGCACCACCATTAATAATTCCAAGACCCAGTCAGAAAAAATTTAAGCAAAAAGTTGCAACTTAAAAGAGCCCCTTCTACTTTAGGGATAAGGTTCTGAATTCTTCTTGTCTGTTTAATGGCCAGAAAGAGACTGCATTTTTCCTAAGTTTGTTTATTTCATTTCTGGGAACATAATTCACTGAGAATGAAAGATACACTTATTATAAATGTTAAAATCCAGCTCACAATAATTTTTTACAAAAGTGATGAATAAATATTTGCCTAAAAGAGATAAGCATTTTAATCTTTCCTTGCAAACAGTAAACCGTGTGACGTTATTAGGCAAAAATGTTTTTTCAATGATAATTTTAAAAGAACAAGCTACAGGTCAGAATTTTATACTTTGTCAGTGAGATTTTCATATCTATTTTTCCTTTTTTCTCCTTAAAGTGGGGATTGTATAGTTTATTTCTTACAACTAACTAGGATAGCTTTTGATTTTTACTCTATACTGGAGATTTGCTATAAAATGTTCACAGCACCAGGTAGATCTAAATAAGTGTCCTTGGCTAACTGTAAAATGTTCTTGATATGAAGACTTTCAAATTCAGAACTTCAAAGGAAATGAGTATCTGTTAGCAACCGTAGGAAAGGTTGGGCTTTTGTTCATTGATGTGCATGCAGTTTCTTCAAAAGAGACACAGTCAAAATTGGGCTAAGTTCTTGTTTGAAATGACCAGATTTATCTCACTAAGCATCTTTTTTCCCTTTGTACTCATTTTTTGGTAAACCTCTTTTCATTTCCTGTTACATTTTATTTCTTTCCTTGGATCAAAAAATGACTGCTATGTTTTTATTAATACTTGTAAGACAATTAAGAGTTTCGAATCATTTACAAAACATGAATTCTTGTTTTTGGTAGCATTCACTAAGAGGTTAGACAGACTCTGCTGTATTCAAACTAACCCAGGATTACTTCCTTCATGACAACGTGGAATTTGGATATTTGATAAAAGATAAGATATTTATTTAATTTGAATTTCATATAAATAAGGAATAATTTTAGTATAATTATGTCCCAAATATTATGTGAGGCATATTCACACTAAATAAATTTAAATTTACATTTTCCTTTCATTTGTATATGCATATATGAGATATGTTGCATATTTGTGTATATATACCCACGCATACACATATATGTGCAACATCCTACAGCTGTATCCTGGGAGAATCCACCAGGTCTGTTTCAGTTAAAAGGACATTGGTAGCATTAACTTTGATGTTTAACTTGATTCAAAAGCTCTTCATCCATTTTCTGAAAATATAATTCTTCTTCCTACAAAGAGGAATTTCCTGAGATGAAAAAGTCAATTGAAACTATTTAGTGTACAAATAAAAAATTTTAAAACATCAATTCTGATTTCATCACTTATAAATTTAAAAGAAACATTATTTTGCAATAACTAACATTTATTTAGACATAATGCATTAATTATATTACCTATATTTGTTTCTCAAGACAAAATCTATGCTGCACCTCTTCTATCTTCTTGCTGTCTTCATTTTATACTTAAGGGACAGAGCCTTGAATAGGTTCAGCCTGCTGTGTTACAACATGTCTAGTAAGTGACAAAGCCAGGATTTGAACCAGCTTTTTTGTTGGCACTGTATGCTGTGCTCATAGCCTTCTATTCTACTTTCTTCTGAATAGAAGAAAGTATGCAACTTTGTGCATATGCTTTGAAAACTTAGTGGGGAAAACAATCTGAATTTATTGTTTTGTTTTTTTCTTTATTTCATGATTGAAATAAAACAAAATTAATCACTCAACAATGATGTACAATACAGCAAGCTTAGCTGAACTTGCTTAGGACACCGAAGTTATTGCACAAAAATAAACACACTCCCCAACACTCATGGGAAAGAATTATTCCCACAATGCGTGTAAACAGAGATCACCTCGTCACTAACGTGAGTGCCAGGAAATAAAGCATTACAATAAATCACAAATGTCGTTGTTCCACTGTACCACAGTTTGGAGATCTGAACAAATTTTTACTGTTTGGATCACATTTCAGTACATTTGTCAGAGGATGCATCAATCAGAATTTAAAACAAGTTAACAGGGCACCACAAAATGCAGACCACATTGATGTAGTGTGTGACTCATTCCTGCTGTCTGGGGTAGCACAGAGAGCCTTTCTGACATAGATGTTCCCAAATGTAGAAGGTGAGGGAACTGGAAATGGACTTTTAGTGTAAAATAGCATGTTGCCCTCTGGGAAAACCAGTGCCTTCTTTCTCATATGTGCCCTTTTACTGCGGTAAAGCTGGAATCTCTGGTTAACTTCAACTTTATTTTCTAAAAATGGGAAACTTCTTGGATTCAATAATGTCTCTTACAGAGGAGGTAAATCAGATCCAAAGATCCTAGTGTCCTGTCAAAGAATGAAAATACTCTCTTAAATTTTTATAGGTGAGAGCTGACATGGTGATACATGCCTATAATCCCAACACTCAAAAGACTGAGGAAGGTGGATTGTAAGTTAAAGAACAAGAGCCTGGGCTACATAGGTGAACCTGCCTCAAAAAGGTCTTCTTAGTAGGTTGTGCAACTTTAAGTGAGCTTCCTGCACATTCTGTGAAGCAGGAAGAAGTCACCCTAAGGAGGGAAAGAATCTGTCAACTATGAGCACATGGGGTGGGGAGTAGAACCTGGCTCCCCACCACACCCGTCCACCACAGTTCAATCCAGGCTGAATGCAGGGCTTTCCTCACTGTGTTCTGAGGCCACTGCCTGCCAAGCATGGTCATGGGCAACCAGTAACTCAGATGTGTCATTAATTCAGTTGTAAGGTCCCATATGAATTACATTGCAGGCATTTTTATATGCTGCCAGTTATAAAACAGGGAAGAAAGGAATTATTATATTCATAAGAAACTGACACTTAGCAAATCCTTTCATAAAGGAGTATCCATTTGTATTTAATTACTTGTTTTCACTGCACTGACAATCTAAAGACAGGGTTGGGGAAAACAAGAATATATAGAAGATTTGAAGCTAAAAGTTTGGATGTTTTGTCAAAATTAGCAACAATTACGAAACGGAACTTTCTCCATGGGCATCAGACATCTGCTTTGAGTTATTTTGAATTGGCTTGTCTGGTAAATCTTGGTTTTTCTCATGCATTATTGGAGTTTCTCATAGACAATAGCCAAGAGTAGTTAGCTATTTAAGGTGACACTCTCAGCACTCTTTATTTTAGCATCTTCTTTTGAATCATGCTTTTATTAATGCTACATGATTCATTTAAAATGTGCATGCATTCTGATTAGGTTAGCTCTTATATATGAATCTAGGCTTACATCCCCATACTATCTTGGAGCAGTTGCTAATTCTAAACCATGACTATGACTCCATCTTGAAAGGCACAAGTATACTGTATGAACCACACTTAAATTTAACATCCAAGAAGCAATTTCTGTTCATTGGCTGGGCTCATGTGACTGACATGAGACCATGGCTGTCAGAGATACAAATGCAGTTAACCTTAGTTTAGATTTTTTAGTGTGTATGTAAGTGTTTCTTCTAAGACGATCTAATGTTTCCATCTGGGCTTGCATTTCAGTTTTATAAAATGACTTCTTAAATGAAACAAGTTATTTTTGTATCTAAAACATGTTTGGGCAGTTTTCTCTTTGTTTAAAGTAGCATTAAATCATGGGAGTTGGATTTCTCTTTGATGAGACTCAGTGGGAAATAAACTATATTTGTTCTTTAGAGAGGTAGCAAAGTATTTGTTCACAACTTAAATGCAAGAAGTTTAAAAAGGTCAAAATCAGTCAAACCAATTACAACCCAGTCAAATTACTAAAACCCACTGCTGTTTCTCTCCATAGATGTTTATATAATATGCTTTAATTCAATGCCTTATAGTCATTCAGAGAATTATGTGAATTTCAGCAGTAAAAATCAACTCTATATTCATATAATGTTGAGATTAATTTTATTTAGCATTGCAAGATGAAATACTTTGTATAGTGTTCATTATTTAACATACTTCTATGAACATTTCTATATGAAATAACTTTCCAGGAATGTGTGCATTTGTGTTATGTGATCTATATATAGCTGCTAAAATTATTATAAGTGCTAGACATTATATTAATTTTCACAAAAGAAACTAAATATGGCCAGAAAATTTTAATTAATCCCTGGAAAACCCAAGAACTTCTTCCCATCCCAATTTTATTCCTTCTGGACCCTCACTTCAGTTCCTTGTACACATCATCTTAGCAACCCACTTCCCCATGCACCTCCTAGGTCCACTGCTATGCTGCTGTTCCACTTAGAAATATTATTTGCAAAACTTTTAATTATTTATTTATTAGAT